ATAAATTTTTTTTTTTTTTCACACTGATGCTGTTCCTTTTCAACTTCAAATGTCACAAGGTACACTTGTAGATACTGATCTGTGTCTGTCTTTTTTCTTGAGAAGGAGCAATTATTTCCACTAGAGCTCTGTTGGGGATATCCATCTTGCTTGTGATAGTTGCATACAAACTTTGGAGGAGGCATTTGTCTGTGGATAATTTAATTGAAGAGTTCCTTCAGAAACAGAATAACTTCATGCCTATCAGTTACACTTGCTTAGAAATAAAGAAAATCACTGGAGGTTTTAAGGATAAAATAGGTCAAGGAGGCTATGGTTTAGTCTTTAAAGGAAAGCTTTGAAGTGGACATTTTGTAGCTATAAAATTACTGGGTAGGTCAAAATCAGATGGCCAAGATTTCGTCAATGAAGTTGCCACTATGGGTAGGATTCATCATGCTAATGTTATGCAACTCATTGGATTTTGTGTTGAAGGATCAAAACAAGCTCTAGTATATGATTTCATGCCTAATGGGTCCTTGGATAAAGTCATATTTTCAAGAAACACTGATACATCTTTAGGTTGGGAAAAAATGTTTGAGATTGCTATTGGGGTGGCTAGGGGGATTGAATACTTACATCGAGGATGTGAAATGCAGATTTTACATTTTGATATCAAGCCACACAATATCCTTCTGGATGAGAATTTTGACCCTAAAGTTTCTGATTTTGGCCTTGCTAAACTATATCCTGCAAATGATAGTGTTGTATCTCTCACTGCAATAAGAGGTACATTAGGATACATGGCTCCTAAATTATTCTACAAAAAAAATTGGAGGCATCTCATATACGGCTGATGTTTATAGCTTTGGAATGTTGTTGATGGAAATGGTGGCAAGAAGAAGGAACACAAATTCATTTTCTGACCAATCAAGTCAGATATACTTTCCAGCATGGATTCATGAGCGATTTGATCAGGGAGAGGACATAGAGTTGGGAGATGTTACAGATATTGAAAAGAATCTTGTCAGGAAGATTGTCATGGTTGCATTGTGGTGCATACAAATGAAACCTGCTATTTGTCCTTCGATGAGTGAAGTCTTGGAGATGCTTGAAAGTGAAGTTCAGCTACTTGAAATGCCTCCCAAGCCTTCTTTTGTTCCATATGAATTGTAGACTGCAAATCGTGTCAATATAAATGTCAATATAAGTCAAGCAGCCCAGCCAACTATGTCACTGGATGCTAGAACATAAGGTGCACTCCAAATGCCTTACCTTGACTTGCTTACACATAACAGCGTCACATATGTTTACATATATTGCATTGTTTATTAAGTAAATGACCTTTTTACAACTCGAATATATCAATCTTCAAAATTTGTACTTTGATTTATTTGATCACATATGGTTTCTTAATGAAATAAGATTACTCTTTTGATAGAATATTTGAGCTTTATTTGATATTCATTTATTAAGAAAATAATCTTATGGCTCTTTCTGTCTTCTATTTACTGATGCTTCTGCTGCTGGAGGCCAGAGCAAGCATTGTGTCCCTTCTTCCTGTGGAACACTCAATATCAGTTTCTATTTTGGTTAACAAGAGATAATAGATTAATGTTCCAGGATCTTTTATTACATGAACATTAAATGTTCCATTTTAGGTGAATCCAAAGACTAATAAATTCAACTCTCTCCCATGTGAGCCAAAACATTTCAAAAAAGAAAAATTACAAAAGAAAAGCTTCACTGAATTCGTATGAACTAACTATAAAACATTGATTTTGTCAAACATTTTAATAGTTAGGGGAGATTTGAAAACATCACTAATTAGGGCAGCAACCTGGACCAATGGTATAATGACGTGTTGGCATGATTGTGTTAGTTTTCCTTACAATTGAACAAAAGGTTGCAAACTACCATTGCCAGTTACCTTCCATCTGAAAGCAAACTGATTGTGTTCTGTATAATCTGAAGATGAAGATTCAGTTTGATTTGTTTGGTCTCCCACAGTCCTTTCTTGTGCCTCTTCAGGAAACAGAACAGGTTTGGGGAGCATTGGCAGGCTTTTGAGTTTTTCTTGAACCATCTCTTCAACTTTGTTCATCGGAGGACGATCACTAGGCTTCATCTATATAAACCATAATGCTACTAAAATCATCTTCTTTATTATTCTATTTTTTCTTCCTCTGTTGCATCTACTGTTGCTTTATTCGTAATATTTGTTTCCAAAAAAATAGTTTTTCCTAAAATATACTTTGATTACGGTATCATTTAATGTGAAAATATTAATTATTACATGAATTTCATTTTAATATTATTATATCAAATTATATTATATTAATCATTAGATGAGGGTGGGGCTTTTAATGTTGGGAGTTTCTTCCCTTTATTTGATAATCTTTGTTTTATAGTTTGATGCAGTTTAAATTGTAAAATAAAATTTTTATTTTAAAAACAATAATTAAAGATTTTTTAACTTATAGTGCACAACTTAGTGAGTATTAAATAAACTATCAAAACCTTACTGAAGTAATATCTATTTTAGATTTAGTGACTGTTTTAATTGTGGGTTATTTACATTTTATAACGACTGAAATGCTTTCATTTACTTCTCCTATGCAGACCTTTTTTTTTTTCTTATCCCTCATTCTCCGTCTGCTTTCTTCTCTCTCTTGCTGCCCCAATATTTCCCGATTGAAATCATTCTCTTATAGTAAGAGATCAAAATCAATTTACATTGCAACTTGAAGTACAAAAATTG